TTCATCCAAGAATACTGCCGTAAGGCAAAAGTTGTTCCATCGAAAAGTTCTCGCCTAAAATCCACATTTTCCGAGTGCGATTAAACCACCCGATGGAAAAGTTCCGGAGGATAACAAGCAATAGCTATAGCGCCATTGCACAGTCCTTGAAAACTTTTCAAACCATGACAATGGGCAAAGTTTGATAAGATAACCAGATAGACGCATCGCACTCAAAGCAAAGAGCTGTAAGTAAATGCTTGTGAAGATAAACAAAAGCGCAGTTGAAGAAGGAGAGTGTACGAGTGAGATGAAAAGAACGTTCATAAAATCACGGGTGGTTGCCACGTGTGCATGGAAGCAACACTTGAATAATTAGCCAGGAGATCGCGAACGGTGTGCCGTCGTGGGTGGCGAAAACTGAAGTGCACACATTTATAACTAGCCTTCCAATTCTAGCGTTTCAGTGAAATTTCAGTGCAAGGTGCGTACCTGAAGTGACCAGCGGTGCAACTGACGTGCGCGTGCGCAGTGAAGCTATATTGGTAGTTACTTACAAGATGAACGCTGTAAAACTAAGCAGATTCCAGTGTAGTCAAGTTCAATGAGGTCCAGCATCGTCAAGAAAAAAAAGCAATAAAACGTACAGTCAAAGAAAATAGAAAGTAATAAGAGGCCTTGATACTAACATAGTTGTTTGAAGTCATAACAAGAAAGTAAAAAATAAAGTACAGTAGATTTCAATAGAGTCTGCATTCAAGACTGTCTGATGTGTACAGTAGCTGTGCGGTGGTTTATCGCAGGTTATTCCAGACACCACTCCCCATCCCCCGCCAACCCTTCCTCAACAATTCGTCGAGTTTCTGCACAGTTCCCTGGTACCTACTCCTGGGTGAAGGGCCTGTGAGTCAAGTAGCCATCCTAAAGGCGCAAGGCAAAGATATAGAGAAATAGCTTGACATCTCACCCACAGATTTCGAAGTCTTTTTGCAAAGGTTCATGAGCATATTCAAGTTTATACTGATCTCGAGAATCTGTTACAGATTGTTTCTGATTTCATTTCGTACGACTTCTTGTTTTCAGATTTAGACTTTATCAATAGTTTTTATTTACCGCTCACCAACAAGAAAGTAACAAATTCTGATTATTGTACACGACCCCACAAGCTTTTAGCTTTCATACATATGCTGTATGAATAAAGATAACCAACCAACCAACCAACCAACCAACGAGAAATATATTCAGATGTGTAGGTCTTTATCTAGTAGTTCTAGTTTCTTCATCAAAAATTATACCAACGACCGAAAAATCTTATTTTATCAAGGACCCAGCGGTGCAGTTTGTGTAGTTTCGAGTTTACCTATTTAACCAAATGGACATTAGGCCCCACCCTAAACGGTGAAAATAATTTGATAAGGATTTCGTGGTGCATTTTTGGAGATTAGGTACTGATTAAAAACTTCGTTGAGTGAGAACTAAATTTTGATTTTGGTGAATTCGTTATGCAATGAAAATTAGAATTACAACTGATAAACATCTAACGTCATCTGGTCAGACAAATTGTTGTATTCATTACTAATAAATGGGTGTTTCAAATCGAGTTTCTTCCTTTAAAATTGAAAGGAAAACAACTGGTTATCAAAAGTACGAGCTGGGAAACTCTTTTGTGTCAACAAAGAGTTGTCACTTAGTTCCTAAAGCTAAGAATGGGATTCGCGATACAGAGCTAAAAAGAAGGAAGCGCTAAAGTCTATGCAACTGTAAGAAACAACACATTCAATTTTTTTTTTTTAGTGAAGACATGCCAAGCTCGCTGTCACGGCTGACGAATATCTGAAAGTTGTGTCTACAATGGTGACCGCAGAAAACTTTGGAAAGATAAAGAATTCTGATGTGATATTTAATATATAATGCTATTTAACGGTAAATGAAACGTTTGTTTCCATGAAAATCTTTTTGTAAGATATGAAGGTTCCAGCTAACGACAAAATTTATCTTATATGAGTATTTTTTCGACATGGAAGGTGTAGTTATAGGCCGTATAAAAATCTTAATATATGGTAATCACAGAGTATCTGACTGAATTTGTAAACAAGTGATCTGAATTAATCATGTAAACTTGAAGCTGTTGGACAATTATTTCAAAACTCCATGTCAGAGAAACTGCTGAAAACTGTGTTTCAAATTTTGAATGGTTTCATTGTTGCAAGCTTTTGCACACCTTGACGAAAGAAGAATCACTACACAACAGCTTATTTGTTATAGGCTCGTAAATTATTTATCACTTGTGTGTATGCTCTAAAAAAATGTAGGTAGAGTATATAACTAAAGTAAATTTACCTGTAACGCAAAAATACTAGATGTGTAAACTAGCCAACGAAACGAGTACGCGGATAATAATTTTTTATTTTTACGTGCAGAAAATTTATCAAAGAAATACAGTAATTTTGATTTTATTTGTTTTCAACAATGTAGTGATTCGTGAGAATAATTTGGAAACGGAACTTATGCATAAAATGTTTTCTAACCGCTTTGAAAATGCGTCATTACATGATAATTAAACGACAGGAGTACGAAATCAAATTAGGTATAACATCAAAAAATTTTACAGAAATCTCAACAGAATACTTACCGACGATCAAGACCCAAAATATGATCCTGTTGATAACAATGAAATTTCTTATGCTTCCGCTCATTGTCAGACATATCCTGTTTCTTCCGCCATAAAATAATGTTGAGTGTATTCACAGCGAAATTTTCACAACATTTCTCACGAAACTTCGTTCGTTTCAGCGCTTCCAACTCATCTTGATCTCAGTCACCTGGGGGCTCAAGACAGAGATCTGAAAAACAACAAGCAGCGATGAATACTAAATTCACAAGAAACTCTTTCTGCACATTGTAAAAGCCCTAGGAGATTTGTCCCAGTTCAGGCGACACACACTGTTGGCTAAGATTTTGTTCTAACCCAATTAAAGTTCTTTTATCGCGAGGAGAAAGTTGACACAAAAAAAATACCAGTCTTTGTTCAGCATGTTAAGCAAACCTCAGTTGGAGGCCATGTAGTTGTATTGTACTCGACCAATATTTCATCTTTGGTGCACAGTTTGCCCTACAACACGTATCTCCTTCCTCCCAATTTACACTGAAACACTTTACGAGAATCACCACGTTTTTCAAAAGTGATTATCCTTCGCAGAACAAACATGGTTTATCAATAATGCACGTGCAAAAACCCCTCATAAAGAGATTTAACGCTTTTTTCACTCCTCCAATCGTATGGCGCAATATCACCTTGTTATTTCCTCATTATTTCGCTTCGTCGTTACAGTGAACTGTTTCTCATTGTGGGAGAATATGATTTTGAAGACAAACCAGTTGATACTTAAAGTCGAGATTTTAGAATATTTATTACAATTGTTTCGATACATAGATACTAGGACATCGCGGTTGCATTCTGACAATTTTTGAAATGGGTTTTGTTTTGAAATGGAGGATGATGACTCGGCGTTAAGAAGTTGCGAAAAATTACATCTATGCTATACTTGTCTTCATTAATATCCCTTACATGAACTGAAAAAATGTATACAGTGAAAAATCCCTGTTCTAACCTATGAGGACGAAAGGCGAGAAAATATTATGTATTTCCTGCAATATGATTTATCAAGGCCGATTGTTTTTCATTCTCCGAAACAGAATTCGTCCATAGAATGTTGTGGTTACTGATAAATATTCATTCCCTGAAGTTTTTTTTTATTTGACCATGAATTGAATGTTCCCCTTGGCCCCCTCAAGATTTTAGCGACTCTGCAAGCAATTAAATTGATTGTAATCTCCTTAAAATGAGATAACAGTTGGGATTTCACAACCTGTTTCGCTTGAGTTAAGACGTGCCTGTAGTCATCGACTATTGCAAGGAAGTGTTTCCGGATCCTGTAATATAATGTGAAGCTTCTAGAAAGCTGTCAGTCTGTTTATCAAATCATAAAAGAAAAAGCCAAAAATATACCAGATTTAGAATGTTTTGTCAACAAGCGTGATCTCAGTTGGTTTTCAATAAAGAAAACATGTCCGATGATTACAATAAGAAAACAAAAGAAAAATGTCAACTCAACATGTACAGGACACAAAAATATACGAGTCCTGCCCTTTCCCTTGAACATTTTTTTAATCGAAGATTTAAAAATAGCAGGTTGTTATTTGAAACAAAATATACAAACCTGAATACTGCAATGACTTGCATTATATCTAGGTAAAAAATTCCATCGATGACTGAAAAATTCTTGGATGTAAATTATTAGTTAGATTTTGAAAGAGCACTCATCAAGCATTTTTAACAGTTCTCCGTTTTCAAGCAACTTATGGCTATTTTTTTACACAGGTACCCGCTAATATGTATCTTATTCAAATATTACAAGCCACCTACTTGATGTTTCCTCGATATTTCTGAATTTTATACGTTACACACCCAAACTTTCGGCTCGTAAGAACACGTATTACCGATCTTTCTTCACATACAATCCTTTTGTTTTCTGTTCTAATAAATCCAAAGTAATTCCATCGTTTTCCGCTGATTACCAGACAGTAATTGAGTATCATGTCGTCTGGATCCTTTTTCGCCCTAGCCGTATATATTGTTATCTATTAATCTGAACTGAATAGATAAGCAATGTTTTTAAATTAAAAGGGATGGAGCAGTTTGCAGCTCCCCTCCAGAGAGAAAAACTATGTCCTGGCCTCGTATTTTTAAAAATTCAAAACTTGCAGAGTGAGGAGTCGAAATGATAGACAAAATTTCAAATTCCATGCCATATTTTATGGAAGCTTATCTTCTAAGGGAGTCAAGAAAATCGAGTCACTTTTGAAGAACTGAATCAGTACAGTTTTCTGTTGATTATATGACAATTTGCGCCTTTAAAGGCGCAAATTGTTCAATCGTGAGAACGGTACAAAAATTGGTTATCGTTTCTAAACGCTGCAGTGTACGTTGCAAATGTACGATAAAGAATTTTACCAAAGTTTGCATGACCACGATAATAAACTGCAGTAAATGATTATACGTCTATCTAAATAAGAATTCATTTCAAGATAAATGGCTCTTCTATATATTATATATATTCTGTGGCAGAGGCACTATTAAAATCAAGTTCTTCATAATCCTAAATTGAAGACTGTAAACAATGTAAAAATGCAATTAACTTTAATAAAGAATCAGCATAGATAAGACGTATTTTTTGGGGAGAAATTTAATTGGAAAGATAAATCGCAACTTACGTGATTCTATTTGGAACCTCTTGGCAATAAATAAACCGACCCACGGGCCGTTTTGTTTTGCAAAATGAAACGGATCAAAAAGCCGTCTTAGTCCCCCTTACAATACTCCGACTTAAATGGAAGAGAGAGTCTGGGTGCAACTCCCTACGATCATCAAATTGAAGAGTGATTTTTTTGACGAACAAAAACATATTGCTGTTAAGGAAATCGCAATTTTGGATGGTCCTCGTCATTGAATACTGACATGGGGCATTTTCCTTGTCTACAACATTCTGCCATAAAGCGGTTGAAGCAAAGAGCAGTTCATAAACTGTTTTAGTATAAAGTGGAAGATGATAAGAGGCCCGAAACATTGCAGTCACGAATTTTGAAGAAAGCTGACGTTGGAGAGTTAGTGCTATAATCTGTCGAGATGTGAGCGGTTGAATAGAAGCAGTTTATTTTCCTTCATCATCTTCTGGCTGAAGATCAACCACAAAGTGTTCAACTCTTCCGTGGACGTAACGCAATGCAGAAGTTTCTTTTTAAAAGAACTATTGAACAATACTAGTAACTTCGCAGTTTTCAAACTGTTATGTCACGCCGTCTTAAAACAGTTGTCGATGACGTATTTTAACGCTCATGGGATCATCTCCTTTTAAAAATCGAGAGACGAATGATTTATCCACAGGATTATCACCGAGAAATCAAGCAATCTCTTTGTAATTTTGCCAGAATTGAATTAAAAATAACGAACCCTAAGTTCGAGCCTTTTCTTTGAAAAGCGCTTTCGATAAAATTTGAAGTCAGACTTTTTACCATAAAGCTAAACCACATGCTCCTAATATATTTTTTTTTTAATTTTTACTAATGTGTTTAAGAATATAGGCTTGCTTCAAGAGCTCATATTTTGTTTTTTTTAAATATATGTTGAGTTAGTCTGTTGACTGAAGAAAATAATGGTATTATTTTCGAATATTTAAATGCCTGTCCGTCCTTGACTCCAGAATTCTCAGCAAGATCAGAATATGGCATATTTTTGAGAATAACCTTAACTTGAAAGACATTGAAAGACATTCAAAAATAGGAGCAAATACAACATTCGAAGGAATTTTTTACGCGCATTAGGTACAACAACTTAAGTCCTGGTTTCTTCGTCAACTTTGCATCGAAATGTAAACATTCTCGCCAAAATGTTTCATCTTATGGTACAAATTAAACCTATCTACCGATAACAATTTTCTTACCATGTTCTGTTATAAAGCGTAATTCCCTTTTAGCAGCGACAAAAGTCAGTCGATGAAACGAAAAACTCGATCGGCTAAGTTCCAATTAAGTTGTTTCTTGATGTAGAATATAAAAAATACGAATTATTTTAACGTCGCTAACAGCAAGCCGTGTAAGTCACCTATCTGATTTAGCGACGACAATATTTCACTGGAATTTAAGATCTGAATCTTAATTTAATGCTTTGATCTAGTAGCCATTTACTATTCAAAAAGGACGTAAGAGATAAGAAAAGTCTCTCACAGAGGAGAATAATCGATAAAAGTAATAGCGTCATGAAAATTTTATTCTGGGAGAGTGGAAACCATAGGGAGAAATATCCTTCTTCCCAGCTGACTTGTCGATGTTTTTCCTATGCGAATATAAATGGAATAACTCTCTTGATTGTAAATTTACTATCGTTTGGCTATTCACTACCGAATGGAGGGCCGAAAGGCAAAGTAATCAAAAACTGAATGGAAATATCTTTGGAAATCATCAAACTTTCCGTAAATAACTGTGGGAGTTGAAAGTGACTATCAAAGTTTTCTAATTTGGTTCCTTAACCAGCAGCAATTGAACAAAAACGGCTTTGTTATTCAGTGTATCTGTTTGAATCCGAAATTCAGATTTCTCCTGTCGTAAAACTTAAGGAAAAAGTTCAATTATTTTATTCAATCCCATATCCACAAACACTAGCCCCACAACAAAGCCGAGCTTAAGATAACGTTTGGTATATTACAACATCACCAATTTGAATCAAATTTGCGTTCTGCCAGAATTCAAGGACGGTGAACCTTAGTTTGACGAGTGCTCTGCTAGCATGCGAATTTGACGAGTGCTCTGCTAAAATGCGAGAACGTATTGTATCAGTATCAACTGACACTAATTAAATTAGATTTACTGAAAACTGCATGCAAGCCAACGGGTCCGGACAGTGAAACAAAAAAATCACAGATCTCTATATTCTGAAGGCTAAAACGTCACACGAATAGAACAGTTATGTGTTTAATTCGTTTTATAAAAGGTAAATTAGTTATAATTAACAGTGACAAGGATGCTAAAAATAATCTAAAACTAAAATTAGCAGAGGAAAACTAAATTTTATCACCAGATGTTTTTACAACCGGGAGCAATCCAGGAGTAATTATTGTAGTTGTCAGAAGGCTACAAACAAACGAAAGATGGCTGAAAATCTTTAGTTCAGACGTCTAGACCAGGCGTGGTTTATGAACGAAGATTCCACAGAAGATTTGGCTTCATCGGCAAAAATTTAGATTTTTTTTTTCAGCGCTTAACTTTTCCTTTATTACTTTTGCTTATTCTATCGACCTCTCATCTTTACGCCGTTAACCATTTCCAAGGTTACACTCTACGGAAAGGCTTAAATATTATGTTTCTTTGAAGCATAAATTATGACAGCGTATTTTTAATTAGAAGCGCCTCGTCGATTTGAATTAGACTAAATAAGATTCAATACATTGGTTACGGGAGTTAATTTACAGTCGAAGTTATTATAACTCGGGTTAATTTATATTTGTGAAAACAGTCCACGCTTTCTATCGGCTTGCTAATAATTGCTAGCTGATAATCCAGAAGCACGAAATTCCCTTTATCTTGGTATTACAATGATAACAAATGTTATGCTCGGATGGAATTCAGCTTCAATCACAAAAATTGACGAACACAATATTTGATCTCTGATAATAAGTGCTGTTACTACTTTACTTGGACTTACGATTTCTTATTTCAGTTGATTTCATTCCTGACTAGAGTTAGAAAACAGGTTTCAAAGAAAGTCAAACTGTCAATTCAATTTTTTCGTGATAAATGGAGGAAGAAACCAGCGAAAAATTTATCGAAGGAAGAAAGAGAAGTCTGCCCTACAGGTTAATATTTGCCCCCGCCTCCTACTGAGCGAAAGAAAACTATTACACATGATTAGCTGATCGAGCCAATGCCATCAGCCAGAGCAAATGAAAATTTTTATCAACATAAAACCTCGATTCATACAACTCAAACTGCTGGATCGTTATTTAATTTTCTAGAATAATTAAGCCGCTCAGAAAATTCGATTGCAAAGCTTTCTGTCTTTTCAGAATCGGAATTGTTTCATTTCACGATGGAGACGCCATTGTCATTTCTCCGTCTCATTTCTTTAGTGAAAGTATGATAGCACGATAGAATGGATGTCGTTTGTGAATTCCTTACCTTGCTGCTGATCTGCTGAGCATTAATATTTCAAGCGTGTTGTTGAAGTTGTCTCCACTTCTTCCTCAAGTTCGAAGACTACATCATCTTAAGTTTATAGATCTTCTGAAAGCGGGGAACGCTAATTCCATTATTATCAGAGTAAAGTTGGAAGAGTTTAAACATAGCTTCACAAAGATATTTTAAAGTTCAAAAGCGATATTTACCGTAAAACAAACCGTGATTCTACTTGAGATATATTGCCACGCAGTTTTACCGTGATTTATGCACAATTTTCCGTCCCAACTGAATGCGCCCGTAAGATTATCTCAGACGTAGTAAAGAGTTTACCAGGGCTTTCAGCGTAGCTTGAGGGAAGTTTGGAAAACGTCCAGAAAAGGTTAAGCCTCGTGCCTAAAGCCGTTTTTCAGTCTCGACTGAATAGTTAAAAAGAAAGCAAAATAGCTTGGTCTTGTTAAACATTTATGACTCAGTTATTGACTGATACAAGAGCACAGCAAGAGGATGAAAGAACACAAAGATAAGCCGTTCTCTAAACATCCAATGGCTTGCTTGAAAGCGTTATTTAGTAAAACCCCCTAGAGATGGTCAAATGCGATAATTTTAATGCATCAAAGAGATACGGCCTTGCAACAGCAACTCATCGAGGAAGTTCATACGTCGTTGAGTACTTCTCTATCTCTTTGAAACTGAAGAAACTTTGATGCAAAAAGAAAATCTTAAATCGAACTGAGACCAGCCATTTTCAAGCAAAAACAAATCATGACGATCAAAAACGTGAGCTTTTAAGGGCGAATCGTCTGACATCTAAGATGAATTAAAGTAAAATGACTTTACTGGAGCTAATTTTTGAAATTACTGGAATTTACGTAAGACATGAAAAAGCACGTTATCTGTTATCAAACTACTGTGAGAAGCGCGTTTTTTTTGTCGTTATGTGAGAACCGTGAAAAACAAACCTTTTAAGCTCGAGAAGTAAACGTAGACGAGGTGTGTTTTTCTTAGCTTCTGATGGACATTTTAATGTGTTTTTCGATTTTTAGGGTTTTTATCAAACTTTTGCAAATATTTTCGGTGATTTTAGATAAAATATGTTTCTTTTCTAACTTTTTAAGCTTTGATACAAGCAAATTAACTCCGTCATATGTAACTTTGTCAGATGATGTTTTTGAATTCTTTTACATTTCTTAGTCAGTGATTGACTTCATTTCTTCTTCCAATTGATAAACACTCATATTCTCTGAGCCTTCTTATCAAACTGAGGTTTGATATCCAAGTTTGAAATGTTTTCTATAAGAGATAAACAAAGGAGAATCTTCATGAAAAAAAAAAACAACAACAAAAATATGCTAATTACTCTTTGAAGGTATGAATTTAAATAATTGTCGATTGTGCATAACTTAACGAAATGACAACATAGAAGATTGAACACATCCGTACGTGCAAATGGAACTTATGGAGTTAAGTGCAATTTGGAAGGAATATTAGGAACACTTTAATGTTTTTTTTTTCGCTCTTTTCCGCGTCACACTTGACTCACACTTCGAACTCGCCTCGGGCTTGCCTCCGTTCACCTGAAAAACGCAAAAATATTTTGCCTGCTCTACAGGCTAAGCAACATACTTCAGTTGCGATCCATCTATCTGTAATATTATCAAATGATCGGCACGTCCCTGCACGCACTTTTACTGGAAAACAACAATAACAACAAATCCTTAAAGAGGGTCGTACGCAATGGCGTGAGTAGGGCTGGGAAACTACATACTGCTTCGCCAGATGTTATCTGAAAAAAAAAAAATAATAAAGAAGGAGAAAGAGGGCGCGACATTTATAAAAAGCTTGCTTATTTAGTTTGGTTGGGCCAGACATGAAAATGTTTGTCTCCGTCAAGAAGTTCAGACTTCAAGCAAATGTTTCTCCGTTTATCCCTTCCACTTAGTCAATCAGTGAAACCATATATTTCAAGGGAAAAATTAAATTTTTCGTTTAAAATCTGAGGGACATATACCTGAGTCTTCAGTCATTAAGAGTCGGCGTACAAAGACCTTCTAGCCGTGCCGGAGTGCACGTCGAGCTTTGCGACTGAATCTAAACGTAATAGATAGTGCAGATAAATATGGTATCCATGTCAGCTAACGTCAAACAGGAAGAAGTTTTCCCCTTTGTTCTTTTAAAAGAATAATTAAATATTTGTTTTAGACGCTCAACCCGTTTAGTGACCAGCTGTTTTTAGTACATCGAGGAGCCTCAAGCGCATTGGTGCAAATTTTCCCGGGAAGAGGTTGTTCTTAAATAAATTTTAATTGGCTATTCTTCTTTCCAGAGATTTTGGCCAATCAGAGATGGTGTTCTGTTGTATGAATTCAAAATGCACTGCATGTCGCATGCGCATAACAGACCAGTCATAGACTGCCGTGTCAGTAAGCCGCCGGGAAACATGACTTACTTTTAGACTCCCTTACTAAATTATTTTGCAAATTCTTTTGTTTAGAGATGTTGAGATCGTCGCAGATGTGGTTTGTTTGCCTTTTAGTGGTGCGTACGGTCTTTTAGATGTCTCTTTCCCGCTGTTGTGTTGTTGAATCGCATGAGCGCACGTTTGGAAATGTATTGGGGAAGCCACGTCGATGTGGTCCTTCATTCTTACCAGTTACTACAGAAACTAACTTGTTGATTACGTTTTGCAGGCTGTACTTCATTTTCCCAGCTCGTTTTGTGGCCATGTGGTGCAGCTTAATAGTCAAAATTTCGATCAAACACTAGGTAAGGATTCTAAATTGATCGACCAACTCGATTAAGTTTTAATGTTATTGTAAGCTGACTTCAAAAGCCTACACATCGACTCTTTGATCGCGATACACTCTTATTCCATAAGATCTGTTTCCGGCAATTTTTTTTAAAGCTATTTACTATTTTATTTATCGACTGAGGTGTTTCAGTTGACTAATCTCCTCGATTTCCCTTTCTTTCAGCAAATAATAAACTGGTTTTCATAAATTTTTACGCCGATTGGTAAGTCATTATGATAAATCAAGCGAACTTATATAATTTTCGTAACATTCGTGCATTGCCCGGACTTCACATCAGCTGGAATACAAAACAATACAAAGAGCTCGATCATATGCTGGTTTGTTTAATTTTGATATGAAATGTGGGCGATGTGTTTTGTTTTGTGTATATGTTTTTCTATCAGGGTTTCAAACTTGCCATCAATAGCCGATTTATTCCGCTTTAAGAATAGTAGACATGCGTCGTCTCTTTAACGTCAAAACGTCTCTCAGTTCAAATAATGAGTAAATTTCCTTCAAAACAACTCATTCTAACAAACACTGTAGATTATGTTATAGCAAACTGCACCACATGGTTATTTCAGATAATTTACAAATTTTGCCTATTGATAAGGGGCATTGCAAACTTGTATATATAGCTGCTTTTAAGTAATCGTTAGACACGACTGATATTTAAACCAATGTATACATTGAAGGAAATTTGAAGTTTTTGAAAGCAACTGCAAACCTAAGGAGACTATACAACCTTTAAGTTACAGTTAAACAGAAATTCAAGGTTCATCGATCCGAAAAGAATGTGTTGCCTGTTGGGAGAAAAATATTATTTAGATGTGGGGCCAAAGAGTCATCTAGTATCTGGGATAATAGCTATAGTTTAGCGAAAATGTCTCATTAAATTCACTACATTCAGCTGCTCTACACGTACAGCTTCTGAGATTAACGTTGCTACACAGATGGCATATGGCGATCAAACATTTTTGTCTCAATCGCAAGATAGAACAATCTGGTCACTAAAAAAGTCTGATTTGTCCAATTTTTTTTTAAACTCGCAGTATAATACAAAAGCAATGTCCTTTCTTTTCGTCTTCTTTTTTTTTATCTTGTGACTGAAATTAAATATCTTGCAACCATTTTGTGATGTCAGGTCACCAAATCGTGTCTTCAGCCAAAAACTTCTGTTGGGAGACTTGATAATTAAAATGCTTTTTCCTTGTTAGTTCAGCTGCTTCAGCTTAGATATTTGTGAGTGTGTGGGAGCCTTAATTTTTGTTATCCTTTGATCAAATGCTATTTCTTTGCTTTTGAACTTATATGGAAATAAAAAAGGGGAAGATAAAACTTCAACTGACTGAAAACAGCTTTTATTTGTACACCTAGATCTTTGAAAGCAAAAATGTTTATTTCTCATTCTGAAGGCATAATCCAGAAGAAACTGACTGGATTTAAGTTGACTTTTCTTGGAAAATATTTTGACTGAATTGCTTCAACAGACTGATCACTGAGTGATACAATTGAAATATTTTCCAAGAAAAACCATAAACGTGTATGTTCCACTCAGTTTCTTGGACGTGTATACTAGATCTTTAACTGTTTAACCCCAAAGAGTGACTAACATCTAATTTCTGTTTACTTTATCATCCCTGAATCACACGTGTAGATCATGAGAATGGAGGAAATGATCACCAACTAAAGAAGCTCTTGATTGTTAAACAAATTCTCCTTGTCAGCACCTTAGGAAATGTATAGAGAACAGTATGGAGAATATCCCTACTGTTGTCACAGGGTGAATGGTTAAAGTTTGACCTTATTTTTTTTTGCTCCTGATTACATGCAGCAGTGAATTTTTTTGCACACAATCAATTGTCCATTTTTATTGTGTGAACATGCACATCTGTAGGTCCTGTGCGTAATGTATTTGTATGTTTTCATTCTTTCAGGTGTAGATTCAGTCAAATGATAGCTCCAGTTTTTGAACAAGCATCTGATCTTGTCCATGAAGAATTTCCAGTAGGCCTTTTTTTTTATTGTTACATCAGTTGGCTTTTGTTCTCAGTTCAATTAATTAATTTTTCCATTCCTCAAAACTGCCACTCCTAGGACTTGAATGTCTGTTCTGAGAGTTTAAAACTTAGGATAGAGGTTTGAGTTGTTGTTTGAAACTATCAGCATATAAATGAATGAGAGTTGAATTGAGAAACAAAGGAAGGAAGGGAAAAGTGTATCTGTAACTTTACTTTAAACACAAAGGCGCGCTATATAAAGAAGTCTTCCCAGGGAAGACCTAGGCTCATTTGTCACTCACCGTTGACGTGTGCAGGTCAAATTCAAATGCTGGTAGAGGAACAAAAGGAGCTAATGAGATATCTACTGTTTACTTCCACCAGCATGGTTGCCTGAGGTAACATGCAAACCACCTACTTCAATCTCAAATTTACTGCCACAAATAAAGACAGTTTCCATTGGAGAAAGGAAATACAATCTCAAAAATTCTTGTATTGTGATGAAGAAATAAAATAATTTTGAGGAATGCGCCCGCTGTTCACTGCTTTGGAGTTGTTGTAGCTCAAGCCGACTTGACTTTAAGAGTTCTACATCACATGAGGGTTGATTGACAAATGGTCCAGTGGGACCTAAGGCTCCTTTTATAGCGTGTCTTTGTGTTTAAGGTTATTCTGTATTGATAATTGGTGAAATATGAGATTTCTGCAACTTAAACAGATTGTAAACTGTTGAGATAATCATAGGGATTTTTGCATGGCATGGACTAGACACCAGAAATAGAAGTGTAATTCCCAATAAATGCTACCCTCAAATGAATGCGGCACCTAACCAGAAGAATGGAGCATACATTTGAGGAGTTAATTTAATATGAAGTAAGGTACAACTTTGAAATATCCACCATCCTTGAAAACTTATGTACAAAAGGGAGGTACATGTACAAATTGGTTCTTCAAAAAAGTTTCTGTGTCAGTTGATGTTTACAAATGACTTACCTTAACTGTTGTCAGCGATTTAAGCAATGAGATTTTTAGAACAAACAGTACCTTCTGATAGAGTTAAAGGGATGTGTCTGTATGTCAGAGGAAAAAGTGAGCATGTGTTTTCTCTCTTGATAGAGTGGCGTTGTGTTTGGTAGAGTGGACTGTGAGTCAGAACAGGAAATTGCACAGCGATTTCACATCACCAAATATCCAACTTTAAAGATGTGGAGAAATGCACAGGTACAACAACAATACTTGTATAATTTTATGGCTGTATGTTATTGTAATTAAGCAAAATGCAGTGGCCTAATGGTCAGTGCAGAGGACTGTGGGTCAAGCGGTCTGAGTTTAAGACTGGGCTAGCTCTATGTGTTGTGTTCTTGGGCCTCTCCCCACCCAGGAGTATACCATAAATCCTCTATTAAGCCCCCCCCCCCTCTAATTAGCCACTTCCTTCTAATAATCAATCAATCAATCAATCATCAACTTTATTTAAGTGTCTAATCTTCTAGCTTGCCCTCAGGCCTACTAATCAGGGACACTACTTAAATTACTTATCAATGATAAATATATATTAATAATACTATAAGATCATTAGATTTAACTATTCAAAACTTCAAATATATACAATAGTCAATATACTTAAAAATACACATGTGCAATAAAAACTATGTAGGCAATTTTTGTAATATATCAACTCTACTAGTTATAATATTTTCTGTTTATGAATTATGAGTTACACAGGTGGCACCTTTTGTATGCATCTTCACTAACCAATTCACTCAGATCTTTTTTCCTTATGTTTGCTTTAAACCTCCTTAAGGGGGTCTTGTTTCTGTTCTTCATGCTCAATTTTGACCATAAAAATGGCCTAAAAAATCTGAGGGAATGCTTTCCGTATTTGACAGTTTTTACCCTTTGAACATGAAAGTCCAAGTTCCTCAGGTTGTAGTTCGATAATGTAAACTAGCCCCCCCCCT